AATCAGATCAGTTATTTTTAAAAAGTCAAATTAGTAACTTAAAAAAACAAGACAAGTTACTATTATGACGACAAATTAAAATATTATATATAATATTAAATAACCATACAATATACTGTATTAATTTTAATCTAGAAATCAAACTAATTTATATAAAATGTCCGAGATTTTTTTTTTACACTATCAAATCATATTTACTCAGAGGCATACCCATGCACCCATTAAGAATATAAGTTTGTCATTGTGCTGCTGGTACAAACTAGAGAAATTACCAATGAGACTTGAGTTTGAATCTAGCTACAACACTATTTTGTTGTTTTTATATTTTAAGTTTATCTTAGACTCATATTTGAGCTAAGATAATATTGATACATCCGAAGTCTTCAAATCATAGGTTCATTACTGTAATAATTTACTTGTTAGAAATAATAAGCTAGTAACATGTCTTATTTTTAAAATTAGGAATATCATATTTTGAGAAGGTTTAATATTTTTTGTTTGTATGAATCAAACTCTAATTCAAGTCCAATAAACAACAACCAAAAAAGAAAAGTCCACTAAACAAACTAAAGTGACACACGTCCCATGGTTTGTGGTTCTAGTTGTTACCTAGGAGAAGAATTTAGGAGGCGGCATATTTCACGGCAGGTTAGTAGAAATTAAATTGAAGTTTAAGGTAGATTTTTGACTTCCTTGTAACACATGTTAGATCTCTTGTGTCAGATCTCGTTAAAAGTACTACAAGCAACATCCACAGTAGTCTTGAAATATATGTACTCGTTCCTATTTAGTTGTCACAATTTTAAATTTTAGGTCTCATTAAATATTAGGTAAATTTATTATTGTATTCTTATTTAGTGTTCTTTTAAAGTTAACTTTTTAATCAATGAACATGATTTAATTAATTTTTGACTAATAAATATGAATTATTTACTTAGTTTTTCTATGTTGGTCTTCAAGACTAATAACTCTCAAGTATAAAGTAGAAAGAATAATGTCATTTATGCATTAATTATGTGAAATGACAAGTATTAAAAAATATCTATTTTTAATAAGAATGACATGTAAATAAAAACGGAGAGAGTATTAATTAGTGTTAATTAACCAAGTCCAATTAATTGAAGATATTACTTGTCTTCCCTCAGAACCATGTGGACATAATTAAGATGACATTGCTTAACAGAATCTGACCACAAAGTTGTCTCGAAATAAAATTAAGAAGCTTAATATTCGTCCTACTAAATTATTTCTTCCAACTTATAACACGTCATTTCAACTTAATTTTTCCAAATGAAAAAATAGAAAGAAGAGGATGAAAACAAACAAGACGTGACTTCTACATCCATTTTTTCCTACTCTCATACCTTAACGTGTTGAACATTCCCAAGGTCCAACCGTAGTGAAGGAAGCCGTTTAAGCTTATACTTTCTCCGTTTCATATTAGATGAGTATTTTTTTATTTTACATGGTGATTAAGAAATTAATGATTGATTAACTTTATTATTTTGCCCTTTGTTCATATTAATTGGCCTCTCGAAAAAAGAATTTTTGAATCTTCAAAAAAAAATTAAACGAGAAAAATTAATTAGTTTTATCTTAATTTAGTAAGTTATCAAGTAATTTGAGACAAATAATTTTATGCCCATCTAATATGGACGGAGGGAGTACTATAGTTTACATTACTATAACAAAATAACTTTTAATGGCAATAAATCTGAACATTAACAAAGAGTGTTACTAAAACCTTACCAACATTAATTAGTTAATTGTGGATTCAATATCGTTATAGACTTTATGGACATTTACAAAGAATGTTAATTGACTCTAAATTAATAAATATAGAGACAATTAAACTATTATTGTTAATTAATTGCTGCTAAAAATCATTTTTAGTATCGTGTGTATGGGGGTTTTGTTTCCCCTTGGACACATATAGATAGATGAATTTTATTTTTTAATTTGAGGTTGTTGAAAACCCATAAATGTAAGAATGAAAAATAATTCAAAATTATTTGGGATTTGGTATTAATTATTTAATTTAATTCATAATTAACTAGGACTTGGAGCAATATAAGTACAGGTGCTTACCTATTTTCTTGAAAATGAAGATAGTGGAGAATTACAAAAAATAATTCTAAAGGTTTATTAGTATATTATAAAAAACATGAATATGTAAGACCCTTAATTATACTGTACAGAGTTATCGATATTTGAGTTTCTAAGTAGTAAAAATAAGTATTACCAGAAATTACGGCTCAATTGAAGTGAAAAAGGCACTTGCTTTAGTTTTTCACGGCAAACACATTTTGACTAAGCTAGATCACTTTCTTTAATTCTCCCTAAACTAGATAAACTTTTAATTAATTAATTATTTGTCATTCTTCACTTTCATTTCCTCGAAATAGGTACCACCAAATATTCATATGATGCTACTAGTAAACAATCCTCTCTTTTGAATAATTCGTTCAATCTAAAAGTAACTATAATGTCCTGAAGTTTTGTAACGTTATTAAATCATAATATGAAAAAAGAAAATTTTGTAGTAAGACAAAACATACCGTAAAGATGAAGTTGTAACCTCGTTTAAGAACATCACTCAAGAACAAAGTTCTTCTCCACATCATCTTGATAAAATCTTGAGACATGAACAATTTTTCTCCACCAAAATCCACACCGTCCGTTTCGAGCTTGTAACAATGAAGATGTAAGAATTTACAACGTTCATAAGAGGTTTGATCCATGGCAACAATCAAAAGATGATTCACTAATTCCCTAGTGCCTTCTCCATGCCAAAAACCATCCAAGAATAGATCTAGCATTGCCTTATCTCCTTCTACATATGCTTTATTTACAATAGTTATTATTACCGCCTTGTTCTCAGTTGACGCTCCCATCAATGCTCGTTCAAGATCATCCTTATAATACACTCTTTCATTTATCTGCATAGACGAATTCAAGATTCAGAGTTAGAGTTAGTAGTGGAATATTCAGAATAAATATAGTCCTACGTATACACAAAAAACGCGCGAATTCAAGATTCAGAGTTAGAGTTAGTAGTGGAATATTCAGAATAAATATAGTCCTACGTATACACAAAAAACGCGCTAATGAACTACATAAGAGTAATGTAGGGTAGAGTGATTTATTTTTACCTGTTTTGAGGGGTTAAAGAGTGAGAGTTGCAAAGGAAAGAAGGAGGGGGTGTTACTTGGAGAAGTCAAGAAAATGGAAATAATAAGTAGACCAAATAACAAAATGATGTATATAATATGGTGACTATGATCAATTATGACTTTATTTTTGGTGTTATTGATCATGGTTGTAGTGGGGATGATAGATTTGCAAGGCCTAAGAAATGATCTTGAAAAAAGTTTTGTGGAGAGGAATTTTGATGGAGTTTTCTCATTGCCAACTTAGTGAACATCATGTGTTCTTTTTTATATGTAGAGCAATAAGAATAATATCAATTATGCCTGATTTATTGGACACCTATTATAGTCCAAGTGTCCACCAACATTTGACTCTTGTAATATTTTATTTTTATTTGGAATAAATAATGGCACAAACTTGAGATGAAATAAACAGTTGTCCCATATTATTACTAGCCAACATTTGGCAAATACTCTTAATAAAATAATCTTAAGTAGAGTATCTTTTTTTCACATTCAAAATTGTAACACTATTACGCTACGGGCATAAAAAATGATCTTTAGCAATAATTAATTAACGGTAATAGCTTAATTGCTACTAAATATGTACTTTTAGCGGCAATTAACACTCTTTGTATATGTCCATAAAGCCTTTAGCGACATTAGATTCAATGACAATTAACTAATATCGATAAAGACTTTAACGCTCTTTATTAATGTGTATATTTATTGCCGCTAAAAGGTATTTCTGTTACAGTGTTATACTAGATAATTTGATTCTTATTATTACTTACCAACTATGAATTCGACCTCTCTCCATTTTTTAAAGCTCTTTTTTTTACTTAAATAAGAGATCCAGAAATACATATCCAACTTTAAAATTAATGGTTTAAGTTTATGTAACTAAAAATGAACCTTAACCATAGTTAGGATCATCGATACATTGAATATGTTATAGGGATTACTAATTATTTTTTTGGTAATATCACAATTCTAGCTATGATAAGATATTTTTAAAAATATTACCACTTACATTTTCTCAGTTATTCACCGAATTGTGTACTTTCTTACTCGTAAAATGATCATTCTTCTTTATTCTACATAATATTTATTCTTATTTTTAACATTTCACAGTGAGAACTTCATACTTAATTAGGCATTTGTGAACTAAAATTTGAGATGGCTAAGCCAAAATTAACCCCTTCCCGGCATGTTCCCTCACACATACGTTTTCATTAATTAATCTGACGTGGATATATACTATTAATCATGTATTTAGATTAATTTTAATAAATTTTTTAATAGAGATCATATATTCGTATATTGTCTTAGTTTGTCTCATTATTAACAATCATTTACAGATCGTTTCTCGAATATCTCATGAGTGTTTTATTTATTTAATTTTCATTACAGTACCCGTGGTGTATAATCACCACAACTACAAGAATTATTTTCATGTATAGTACTATCGATCAAAATTTATTTGATACCAATCCCTATGAACACGACAACTTTTTTAATACACTATCTTAGCTTTGACAAGCACAAGTGATTTTTTTTTTTTCATACATAGGTTTAAACTCGACAAGTTTGCTTCTAGTAATTTTCCTATTTATTCCAACATAAGAATATAAGAGAAAAATTTGTGCCCTTTTAGATCTTCTCTTAATGGAGCAAACAAATGTGACTATTTTGCGATTTGGCACTATGCTTTTGCAGTACTTACACAAATTACCACGTGAAAAATATGTAATCTTATTATATTATGCATTTACAAAAAATACACTACCTTGCTATTTGAAAAAAAATTGTAACCATAATATTAAATTTCTCAAACATCATAGGATATCCTTAATTTCGCCAGGAATCCCGACAATGATCATGAGACGTCCACTGGAACCTCAACGTCTCATTTAGGGTGGCGCTCCTAAACCTCTTCCAATCATGAATAACTGCAGTCAAATCAGCCATTTTGGCACTAATTCTTCTACAACAGTTAGCATGAACAGTCACAACAGCCTTAACATCCTTACTATTTTGACAAAATCCACTAAAATAAACAGTGTCCAAGAACCTCAATTTAAGGCCTAAATTTCGAAATTGTCTTCCACGTATTAGCTTCTGCAGAACGTCCTGATCTTTTAATCCACTGGAATTGTCTTTTTTCGCGTACCAATTATCAAACAACGCGATAGTTTTATTGTTTGATCTGATCATGTAGAAGCCCGTGTTAATAGGATTCGACTTGGACCATTCATTGCCATTGAAATTATCTGAACTGATTTGCAAATCGATGGATTTGTTCTGACTCAAATTTGTGAATGGATTTCTTAGCCATAACACATCAGTGTCCTGTTCAACATGAAATAATTCAACATTTATCAACTTATTGAGATTGACAAAAAGTGTGAAAGTAACAATCGTTTAACCATTAACAATAAAACTAGTAAATTTAGTATAGTCTTATTGGGTTATCGGTTTAACCATTAACAAAAATCATAAAATCGGAAACCAAACCAATAACCCAATAATATTTTTTGCAAAACCATTTAAAAACCGTTAGCCCAATAACCCAACATCAATAAACCAATAGTGCTTTTTTCAGTTCGATTTATTGGTTAAATCGGTTTTTGCACACCCCTACATAGCAATAACATTTTCTTTTCACTTGATCACTTTTAACACAGTTCTAATACAATTTTAATACATATTAAAGAGAACAATTTATAAAACATATATAATACATATTTTATTGATAAATAAAATATTTATCACACATTTTAATACACTTATAATACATTGTCTCAATTTCTTATAAAACAAACATAATATATTTTAAAACATTTATAATACCTATATATTGCATACATAATTCACTTTTAATACATATTGCAGATTTATCATAGTACTGTTATATAATGCTACAAATAGTAATAAATAAAAAGTATCACTAAAATCAGTAATTATTTATTAAAAGATATCTTTTTAAGTAAGTTTTCCAATTTGGTTTTTAAACTTTGACTCCAATTAAATAAAATTGGCCCATTCAATTTTCTAACTTACTTGACCCAAACATTTACCAGACTTTGTTCTTTTATTTACTCTTCAAATTAAACTTTTTTTTTTTAATTTAGTGTTGACCAATAATGAACGGACATAAATGTAATTAGAGGAATATTGGTAAAATAGGTAAATAAATGATATATTTATATTTAATGTGATAATTAATCCTAATGCATTTTGGTCAATTTCCATTTCTTTGAAAATTCTGCAAGTTATCAAATTGGTGACAAATTCCACACTTGAATGGTCTTATATTCCGCCGCGTTAAGTTATTTGAATAGTACACGATGAGTGCATTTTATACTTATCGTTGTCTATTATATTGATTATTGAAAGTTAATATATACAATAATTTAAATAAGGGAAAAAGCTCAAATATGCATTGAACTTTGAGAAAAGACTCATTTATGTCACCTGTTAAAAGTTTGACTTATTTATGTCATTTTTCGTTAGAGAAAAGGCTCATTTATTTCATTATTTGTTAACTGAAATGACATAGATGAGCCTTTTTTTCAAAGTTCGATGACATATTTGAGTATTTTCCCTTTCCTTTAAATAAATGATAAATGTTGTTTACCGTGAAGACGAAGCTATAACCACGCTTTAGAACATCTCCTAAGAACCTGGTTCTTCTCCACATCATCTTTATAAAGTCTTTCGACATGTATAATTTCTCCCCAACGAAATCCACACCGTCCGTTTCGAGCTTGTAACAATTAAGATGGAGGAATTTGCATCTTCGATATGATATTTGATCCATCGCAACGATCAAAAGGTTTTTTATTAAATCATCGGTACCTTCTCCGAGCCAAAAACCATCCAAGAAAATATCCAACATCGGCTTATCTCCCTCCACATATGCCTTATTTACAATCGCGATAATTACCATCTTGTCTTCCGTTGAAGCTCCCACTAATGCTTCTTCAAGTTCATCTCCATACATTTTCATGTTAAACTGAAATTAATACATACATACATAGTTAATAATTGATGAAAGATATACTTATATTAAAATTATGATTAATTAATTGCTTACCGTTTTTGTAGGTTGACTTGGATATAAAGCAAAATTGTTGCTCTTAGAGGAAGAAGTTAACAAGAGAATATATAATAACACTATGGTAAGAAGTATGTACAGAATATAGTGATAGTATTCGTTGATGGGATTCTTGAAATCCATATTGCAAGACTGACTTCGGTTAGGTTATTTTATCAATCTCGATGTTAAGAGATGAGAAGAGGAATTAAGTAAAAATGACTAGTTGCGTGGTTTTTCTAAACTCCAACTAAATTTGTGCTTCCCATTGGTTTTGTACTTCTCTTTTTATTTGTTCAACTACTTAATTAGTAGCGAATTCTTTAAATAGCCCACGAAATTTTTCATTGACAAATATTGTAAAGAATTTTCAAATTACGTGTGCTATTAGAATAATTGGTTGATTAAAATATATTTTATTCTTAGTTCCTAAATAAAACTTTAAATGTCATTGTTTGAATTCCTCCGTCCGTTAATCAAAAGTCTCGGATTCAAGCCTTGAATAATAAAAAAAATGGCTAGAAGCGTAAGTAGACATTGAAATTTTGTGGGACTCTACAAGATGCGTTCAATTCGAGTTGGGACTCTATAACGCGTGTTCAACTCCAATTAGGATACTCAACCCTAAACCCTAGTTCATGTCATCTCGAATATTCCGAAAATTCTTGAAATATTCATAGAGATCAAAATCAATCATCCTAGTTGAACTCACCTTGTAGAGTCCAACTCAAATTGAATGTATCTTGGAGAGTCCAAACTTTTGCATCATCCCCTCAAATAAAACATGTAATGTGCATATCAGATTAATCATGCTTCAACCTAAGTATCCGTCAGGGAGAAAAAACTTTCAAAGTCTGAGACTTTAGAAAGCTTGTGAAAAGTATATAGAATATCATGTGACGGACTTTTTCCACATTTGTAAACTGTTACTATAAAACTTAAAAGAATATAGAATGTTCAAACGAGCTTGACTTTCTTCTAATAAAATAAATAGGAAAACAAGGTATTCTACGTGGAAGTGAAATTTTTTTCTCATTATTAATATTATATTTTTATGAATGTTAATTACTGTCAAAATGACACCGCTAAGTAGAGGTGTATATGACCGGGTTGGTTCGGGTTTTTCAAATATCAAACCAAACCATTTGTGTAAAAAATTTAAATTTATAAACCAAACCAAACTAATAAAATTCGGATTTTTTCGGGTTTTTCAACCTCAGATTGGCTCGGATTTTTCAAATACCAAACCAAACCATTGTGTCAAATTTTTAAATTTATAAATCAAACCAAACTAATAAACCTTGAATTTTTTTAGATTTTTGGATTTTTTTGGTAAAGTTTGCATACAAACATATAATTAACTTGTGCTCCAAATATTTCTTTAGTCCAACCAAAATAAATTATCTAAGTGTTTCTTAAAAAATAACACAAAATATGAGATGAGTACTGATGACACTAAAATATTCAATAAAAAATAATAATGAAATCATCAAATAAAATAAATATTGCAAAGTCATAATGAAAATGATGATAATTTAAAAGTACTAAATCATGCTAAAATAAGTTTAATAAGTATTAGTTACATTACTAAATATTTAAGAAAAATTAAAATTAGATTATGCATTTTAATTGTCTAAACCAATGTAAAACTAAAGAACAAATATTCAATATTATTATCATTCTTAGTGTTGAATTGATTTTCTTTTTGCATTAGTATTAAATTGATTTTGATTTAAGTTTTATTATAATTATCAACATCTATGAACTATAATCTTTATTGGACCATTCCGAATTCTAAGTTTAAACTTGAAATAATATATTAAAAGATAAAAACTATGAAATAGTATAAGAAATATTTAAAATTATATCAAAGTAAATATTTTTATTTATAAAATAAAATTTTAAAATTACATTTATAATGTCGGGTTGGTTTGGTCTCGGGTTGTTTTTTTTTAGTTAAAACCAAACCAACCCAATTATAGTCGGGTTTTTTTTCCAATACCAAACCAAGTCAAACCAAACCATTAGTCGGATTTTTTTTTCGATTTGACTCAATTTGCGGTTTGATTCGGTTTTCGGTTCGGTTTTGTACACCCCTACCGCTAAGTAGTAGAGATGAAACCTAAACAACGTACAGATCTTCAATTATAGTGGATAAAATATAAAAATAATAATTATTTTTTCTAGCAATATTAAAAGTGACAAGAAAAAATAATTGTATTTTATTGAAATTAATTTGAATTCATGCTAAAAATAAAAAGAAACACACGTCTGAATTGAATGAATCGAAAGTTCAAACCAAAGGAGAAGAGAGTGGGCTTTCACTAAATACTAGACCTCTTATTCTAGCTGGAATATGGGATACAATTGAAGATCCAACCCATTTGACTATAACAAATTTGTTGCACAATAGAGATGAAATGCATGTATTGTGCAGCAAGAAAATTACAGTCGGAAGTAGGAGTGGCAAATGAGTGATAGGATTGTATATGGATCGAGCTAATATAAATTGGATTATGATCCACCCATATATAATATAGGTAAATATGGATTTGATCAAATATGATAGTTTTTTTGGGTAAAATGGTTGTATCCCACTTTAATCTCCTAAAGCCAAAAAAATATTAAATTAAAGTTAAATTGTTAATACCTCAACCTCTACCACCCCATCCCACCCCACGCCACTCCACCCCACCCTACCCCTATATTATTATTATTTTTTAAAAAAAAATTCATAAAAAAAAAAGAAATTTTAATTTTTATATTTCTATTATATAGAAAGGTGAAGACGACCATGATGATCAAGGGCAAATCCGTAAATAAGCAAAATGTACAGCTTAATAGGAATTGTACTTCATGCATAGGAAGTACTGAAATTCCAAAAAAACCATCCAAATTCTAGCATATTCTTAAGGCCACGTGGCTATCCACACATTGGAAGAGTAAAACAAAACACATGGACTTCTATAAATGTAGGGCTCATTATTGTCTTCAAAGTTATCACAGTAATTTTCTTACTTTTTTTAATATACTAATAAGCTTATAACATTAAAAAATCATATAGAGTACTTTTTTTTCTTTTCTTAAAGTAGTGTAACATTCAATCTACTCAATTGTTGTATTTTGTCATTCCTTCTTAAATTCATAAATAATTTATATTCATCATATTTACGAAAAACAATTAATTTCATATAAAAGGCTATTATATATATAAATATACACACTAGACACAACATTCCGTATTAGCAAAAACATAATATTATATATCTTTTAAATTTTTAAGTTGTTAATTATTATGATTTACAATATTATTTACGTCAATTTCAATATATATATATATTTGAATTTGGAGAGTCGGTCAATTTTTAATTGTTTTAAATATTAAAAGTTATTAATTTTTGTATTATATATATTTTAAATTATTAAGTTGTTAATTATTATGATTCACAATATTATTTACGTCATATGTGATACAAATAGAATTTAGAGAGTCGGTCAATTTTTAATTGTTTCAAATATTAAAAGTTGTTAATTATTGTATTATATATCTTTTAAATTTTTAAGTTGTTAATTATTATAATTTACATTATTATTTACCTCAGTTTCAAATAATGTATGTTACTTCATCTATCCTATTTATGTGGCACTAATCGAATTTTTGACTTACAAATACAAATATCTTCATTGAAATTTCATTAGTTAATTGGTTGTTCAGTGTAATTTTTCTTCCGTATACCATTAATTGAAACTAATTGAATATAACACAATAATGGGTTAAAAGGAAAAGATTAATGGATAGTGCCTTAATTTTAAAAATCAACTTTCTTTCCATACACTACTTTATTTACCCTAGAATAATATAAGAAATTTTCAAAAGTAGAATTCAAAACTAAAAAGGGTCACAGTTCCTTTGCACAAGTAAACTCCAAATCATTTTTATTTTTTTGGTATTTCTCCGAAATATTAAATAAAAAAATTAAATTATAATTTCATGTAGCACATAGTAGAAAGCACAGAGCAATATATCGTCAACATAAGCCAACATCTAATATGACCTGGATAAATTTAAAAGGCATTACAAAACTTCTTACAAAATCTAAAGAAATTAACTTAAGCTTCATATTATAACATTTATCATAATATGCATTAAATATAGGAAACTGCGAGACCAGCATAAATTTAGATGGTTTCGAAAAGTTAAAATATGTGCATTCACACACTCAAATTAAAACTTTTTAGATGAATTTAAGAAAAGTAGACAAATTGTCATGAAATCTTGAATTATTATAATAAAAAGGTAAAAAATATGTGAAATCGCATGTTCAAATTAATATTTTCTTAGAAGAACTTAAGTGGAGTAGACAATAAAATTGCCATAAAATCTTGAATCACTGTAATTAAGAAGTCGTGAGTATACCATTTAGTTGTAATAGGAGAGTTCTTGTTTTCATTTTAATTTCTTGTTATGAAATCAACTTTTACCTATATTTTTGAGTCACAAACTTTAAAACAGTTTTCAAAGTTATACAATATCAATCATTAATCATGTTCTAGAACAAATTTAATCTAAAAAATATACATCATAAAAGAAATTGAAATAAAATACCATTTTTTAATATATTATTACCTCACATTAATAGAATTAATTAAGAATTATAAAAATTGAAAGTGAATGAAGACATGAATATATATTAAAATTTCTAATAAAGAAGACAATTATGGAGGGAGGTGAAAAATTGATTGAATTGAATAAATATTTTTTTAATTATAAAAAATTAAATAAGTAAATAAATTTTTCTCCCATCTTTTAAGATATGCAAAATTAAATAATGAAAGTTATGAATATGAAAGATTAGATAGTTATGAGTATTTTATTAATATAATTAAGACTATATCATTTATAAATATGTAGAGGTGTGAGTTATAAAGATGAATTTCTTATATTAATTAATTGTGAAAATAATAAATAAAAATCAAAAAAGGAGAAAAAAGAGAGATAAAAATAACTTTGCTTATATCTGATTTTATAGATTTTATATATATAAATAACATTTACATTTGTAATATTTTAATTACAATAATATTTATAAATGTTTTAAATTAAAGAAAGAAAGAAAAGAAGGAATCTTGAAAAGATAAAAGATAGTAGTATAATATAAATGAGTGACGAAAGAGAAAATGTAAATGTAGTTATTTTCAGAAAATTTTAAAAGCATAATTATTTTGGAAAAAAAAAAGGAAAATAAAGAATGAGAAAGAGAAATCTTAGGAA